ATCTTTGTGTGTTTTATACTGAGCCAGGTCTTGGAGAAGTTCTTCAGTCATGGCTAGGGGACATCGAGCTGTTATCTCTTTGATGGCATTGATTCCTACGGTCATAACTTCTCCAGAGTTCTTGTCAGTGACAAAATTGTTGGCCACCGTCATGAGCAATGACTGAATGATCTCCGGGGGAACCAGGTGATGAGAGGCTTGTGCAGCAAACAGAAGGATCTTTGTGACTTCTCTCTGGTGGGGCTGCAGAAACCTTTGAACGAAGGGATAGAAGTTAAAGAGGAAGAGCTCATGAATTCCCACCAATCTGGAGATAAGGTTCATGAGCATCATCTTCACTTCAAATCTCTCCTTGGAGCTCTCGAGTTGTTTCAGTAGTTTTTCAGCAAAATCTTGGGGATCATGAATCAAGTGAATGGCTGAGAAGTTAAACACCTCCGGTTTCTTCTTCTTCTTTTGTTTCTTGAGCACCTTCATGGCCTTCTCCAGTTTCTTCTTGTGCTTGGAGCTTTTCTTCCCCGTGGCGTACTGCACGAGGAGGTCTCTCGCGGTTGGCCCTTCATCCTCCGAGTCCGAGTCGCTGTCCTGCTTCTCCTGCTCATCTTTCCCGAGGAAGAATGTCAGAGCAGCCACCAGGATCTTGGTGACCGGAGAGAAGCATGCAGTTGTGATAACGTTGACAGTTTTGGCATCATTCCAGATGTTTCTCCTGTAGAGCTCAATCATCACATCCAAGGAGATCTTAGCTGCCGTTGCACTGCTGTCCCTTAGCATGGTGTACATGAAGTTTTGCAGCACTACATTCACTTTATTGTTCTTGTGTTTTGCATTGATGTTCTTGATATCAGTCACAATGTGAGTGTACAAAGTCTTTCGCAGAAGCTTATCATGGCAGCGCAGAAGTTCAAAGAAGAGCTCGAGCAAACTCGATGGGTTGATGAGATTCTTGTTTCTCAGTAAGATCAAAGCTTTGCAAAATGTCATTCGAAGATCAGAATCCAAGACAGTGTGATTGTAGGAGAGCAGATCTTTCAGTTCCTGAGGAAAGCTACTGAGCTGTTCTGGGTAGCAGTGTCCAATCTGTGCCATAAACATCACCAGCTCAGCCAGTTCTTTGCTGGGTTTATTTGGTTGTAATTTGAAAATCTCCACATTGGATTTGTAGTGATTATACTGCTGTAGAAACTCTTCGATGTAGGCCGGCGGGTCCCGCTTGATCAGGTTCTGCAACTGCGGGAGGTTGCTGGGCAGCTTGTTGTTGTTCCTGGCGGACATGGTGGCTCAGGAAATCCCCGCAGCCGGTAGCCCCTCAGCGTGTCTCCGGCTGGCTTCTAAGTTTTCACGGTATCTTTAGTCTCTAAATGAGAAGGACAAGGGAATTTCTCCACCGACTCATTTTCCCTTTTCCTGATGAGTCTGAGAATGTGATTGTTAAGATTAATTGGAATTGTAATCATTTTAATTTTAGAAGAAAAAAGGGAGGAAGTTAATGCTTCCCATATAAAAAAATGGCTACACTAGTCAGAAGGTGACCTGTGGTAAAGAGAAATTGCTTTATAGTTCTTCAATCGGTGTGTCTGTGCCTTGCACCAAGTGATGGGGTGGGATTCTGCAAATAGAGTGTGGGAAATGAAAAATAGCAGGGATTGGTCAATTTTGCCATTCCCTACTGTATAAAAGAGCCAGCTTAGACGTAGGAAAAATAATTCTAGGATCATCAAAAAAGGTCACAGTTCACCAAGGGGCATGTTCCAGGTCCTTGTCTGAAGTGGCAGAGGCTCCAGAGGCAGCAGGGCCCACAGCCCTGAGACCTGAGACCACGAAATACGAGGAAGTAGTCATCTAACATGAAAATGGACTAACCCATTGTTTAAGAATTACTGAATTTAGCAAGTGGAAAAATTAATTATTTACCTAAAATACAAATTTAACTGGCTACCTTGTCTTTATCTTACCACTCTACACCTTCTGTCTTCTAGCTGTTAAGGTGAAAAATATTGTTGCTTTTTATGCTTATCATTAAAAATTCAGAGATAACATCTTTTGGACATTTGTTCGATAAAATTTATAATACAAGATGTTTTTGTATTAGATTTCCCAATCACAGATTCACAGATAATTATCTAAAATTGTCAACGTGCTCATTGGAAGAAAGGTCTAGTCTCGCATAGGCTTGTCTATCCTCATACTATATGCAATCTATTTGTGCCCTCAAAATTGCTTGTGAAATGAAAACAGCTTTCAAGTCCTTAGAACGTTTCATCAGAGATTTGTGTGACAAGAAAAAATATAATAAATGAAGTACAAAGTACGTATAAAGCAACAAGAACTTTGAGTGGCTTGTAAGAACTTTGAGTTTTGAGACCATCTCAAGAACAGATTTGACGCATCAAGCACTAATGACAGACGACTCGATGAACTGTGGGAGGACATCAAGGCCATCCTTCATGATGACAGCAAAATGTTACTAAAAAGACAGAAGAGGAAGAAAGATCAAAGTAAATGTCAGCAGAGACTCTGAACTTGCAATTAATCAACGGGTAGCTAAAGCAAACGGAAGAAAGGATGAAGCCAAAGAGATGGTTAGAATATTTCAAACGGCAGCTTGAGAAGACAAAGCCAAATATTATAATGAAAGATGCCAGGACCTAGAATTAGAAAACTAAAAAAGAGGAACACACTCACCATATCTGAAACGGTTAGACCTCAAGAAAAAATTCAAAGTTCAAATTGCAATTTTGAAAGATTCTAGAGGCAAAGTACTAAATGATACAGGAATTATCAAAAGAAGATGGGGAGAATACACAGTCACTGTACGAGAAAGAATTCATTGAGAGTCCACTATGTCAGGAGGTAGCATATGAGCAAGAACCAATAGTGCTTAAGGAAGAAGTCTAACCTGCATTGGAAACATGAGCAAAGAACAAGACTCAAGGAATTGAGGGGATACCCATCAAAATGTTTCAGAAAGCTGAAGAAAACCTGGAAGCACTGACTCTCATCTATGCCAGGAAATTTGGAATACAGCTACCTGGGCAATTAACTGGAAGAAATCCATATTTTGTGGCCATTCCAAAGAAAGATGACCCTACAGAATTATCAAACCATAGAATGATATAGTTTATATCCTACAGAAGTAACATGTTAATTCTTAACATAAGTACATAGATCTAGTCCCCTCTCATTATATGTAAATATATTTACATATATATACCTGTATTTACACCTCTATAAATGTCCTTTGCCTCCTGATTCTTTCCTCTGTTTCCTTTTACTTTCCTCTTGTCCCACCATCATGTTCAGCCTTCATTTGGGTTTAATATTTCCTCGCTGCTACATTGACCTTGATTGAGCTCCACTAGGTATCCTACACCCTTCTCTCCATTGATCTTGTGGCTCAACTCAAGTACTCCCTCAACACAAAAACACATTGTTCTAATAATCTGCCATTCTGTGATGCTCACCTTCCCAACACGATCATTGAAGACAAAAATGGGTGCATAAGCAAATGTGGTGAAGAAACCAGATGGTACCCAACTATCAAAAGATACAGTATCTAGGGTCTTATATACTGGAAGGTAAACAAGCATCCATCTAGCTAAGAAGCAACCAAGCCCACATGGAGGAAGCACACCAGTCTATGTGATCATGAGGTGTCAATGGGATAAGGTATCAGGCATCTAAGACCTAGAACAGAATCATACCCTATGTGAATGGAGTGCAGACCCAAAGCCTATCTGTAGACAATTGGACATCCCCTAACAGAAGGGTCACAAGGAAAAGAAGAGCCAGTCAGGGGGCAGTATAGCACCCATGAAATACACAACTTTCCTCTAGTTCCTTAATGCTTCCTTCTCCCCACTATCATGAGCTCAATTCTACCTTACAAACCAGATTTGACCAGAACATGCACACTGCTACAGATAAGAGCCCACAACACAGGGAATCCAGGACATATAAACCCCTCAGGGCCAACAATGAGAATAGAGATACTAGGAGGGGATGGGGAAGGTAGAGAGAGAAAAGGGAAATCGATCACAAGGATCAACATATAACACCCTCCCAGGGGGACAAACAATAGAAAAGTGGGTGAAGGGCAACACAGGATGATTGAATATATGAAAATAATAATCTATACGTTATCAAGTGTTCATAAGGATGGATGGGTGGGGGAGGGAAGGGAGAATATGAGGAGCTGATGTAAAGGGCTCAAATAGAAAGAAAATGCTTTGAAAATGATGATGGCAGCATATGTACAAATATGCTTGACACAGTGGATGATTGTATGGATTGTGATAAGAGATGTAAGAGCCCCCAATAAAAGTATTTAATTATAAAAAATTAAGATTTTATTTCAGATCATCCAGCTATGGTTACAGCAGGGCATAAACAGGGAACTGCCAGAAGTTCAGGCCAGATTCCGAAGAGGATGTGGCACAGGGATATCATTGCTAATGTCAGATGGATCTTGGCTCAAAGCAAAGAATGCAAGAAAGATGTTTGCTTGTGTTGCATTGACTATGCATAGGCATTCAACTGTGTGGATCATAACGAACTGTGGATGACCTTGAGAAGAATGGGAATTCTGGAACAATTCATTGTGCTCATTCAGAATTTGTGCATGAGTCAAGAGGCAGTTGTGTGAACAGACCACGGGAATTCTGCATGGCTTAAACGCAAGAAAGAAATTTATCAGGGTTGTATCCTCTCACCATACTTGTTCAATCTATAGACTGAGTAAATCATCAGAGAAGCTATGTTATTTAAAAAACTGTGCAGTATCAGTATTGGAGGAAATCTTATTAATAACCTACACTATGCAGATGACACATCTATGGTTACTAAAAGGGAGAAGGAATTGAATCCCATGCTGATGAAAATCAAGGATTGTAGCCTTCAGTATGGATTACAACTCAAAGTAAGGAATACCAAAATCATCATAACTGGACCAATAGGTAATATCCTGATAAATAAAGAAAATGTTGAAATTGTCAAGGATTTTGTCTTACTTAGATCCACAATCAATGCTCATCGAAGCAGCAATCAAGAAATCAAAAGACGTTGCATTAGGTGAATCTGTTGCACAAAGCATCATTAGAGTATTGAAGAATGAGGATGTTTCTTTGAGTAATAAAGTGTAACTGACCAAAGGCATGGTATTCTCCATTGCATAATATGCATGTGAAAGTTGGAAATCAACTACAGAAGACCATAGAAGTATAAACACATTTGAATTGTGGTGCTGGAGAACAATGTTGAAAGTACAAACAGATCTGTACTGGAAGAAGTAAGGCCTGAGTGCTCCTTAGAAGCAAGGCTGGCAAGACTGTCTTAGATACTTTAGGCAAATGGTCAGGAGAGACCAGTTACTAGAGAAGAACATCATGTTTGGTAAAGTGGAGGAGTGGCAAAAAGAGGAAGACCATTAACGAGATGGATCGACACAGTGGCTGCATCAGTGGACTCAGGCTTAGGAAAATTGTGAGGATGATGCAGGATTGTGCAGTGTTTCCTTCTGTTGTGGGTAGGGTCATTATGAGCCAGAGCCAACTTGATGGCACCTAATAACAACAACAACTTTGACACTGTGATGGTTACATTTTTTGTACCAACTTGGCACCCATAAGAAGACATGGGTTGAGTTTAGCCTGTCAATCAGGTCACAGCTTGATTACTTCATTTGGAGGTGCCACCAATATAGATAGCTCGTTGGAGGCCGGCCACTCTGTCTCTGCCTTCACCTTCCTGTTGACACATGTGGAGACCTGTGTGAGCCCTGGAGATGTTTTCACTGTCATTGGATCCACAAGATTTTGCACCCATCATGTTCCTGCCTTCTGCACCCTTGCATATTGCTTCATGAGTATGAAGAGGGACTTATGGACTAGTATTGGACTTATGAACTTGTGTTGGACTGGGATGGGATGTTTTATTGATGAATAATTACTTCTTAATATAAAGCTCTCTCTTACACATATATGAGTCTCCTTAGTTTTATTTCTCTAGTCAACCTGGCCTAACACAACTTACATATTAACGCTTACGTTCGTCTACAAGGGCCCCTGGTGGTACTGTTGGGTGATAATGAACTGCTAACCTCGAGAAGAAACATGAGATTATCTGCCCTGTAAAGATTTGCAGCTTTGGAAACCCTATACAGGGACACTATAGGTTATATGTTGGGCTGCTGACTGCACGGTTAGCAGTTTGACACCACCAGCCATTCCTCAAGAGAAAGGCAAGGCTTTCTACTCCTGTAAAGAGTTAAAGTCTCAGAAACCCCCAGGAGCAATCTACCCTGCCGTATGA